TTTTTTTTTTTTTTTGTTTTTATCATAGGATTATTTTTTTTATTTCTTGTTTTAATTTTTTTTTTAGCAAATTTAGTTGAAAATGAAAGAACTTATTTTTGTTAAATATGAAAGTATATTGACTAAACAACAATTTAACCTTTTTCTTTGACCGCTGTGATTAGATTTCTTTACGGAAACTAGCGGAACCGTTAACAAAGGGTTTCCTACTGCATAAATAACAGCGTTAAGGGCTTGTAAGCCTAAAAAGAAGTCTAGAAAGATAGTTTAGCGTTGAAGAAGAGGGTAAGTTCAAGAGCTTAAGATTAGTCATTATAATATTAATGTGCAACCAAAATTAAAAATCATCCGTTCATCAAAAGAAATAAAAATAAAATCATCCATTATCAAAGAAAAAAAATTAAAATCATCTAAATATCTAATCTTCCACACAATATTTAAATCATAATCATGATGACCAAAAATTTCCATGATTGGTAAAATGAGAAGAAATTTTCACGAACCATAGTCATCTCCAAGAATTGAAAACCAGTTTTCAAACTTTCCGGTCTTCACGTTGCACAACAGTAGCACAAGACCTGTAAAAGCTATATTATTATTATGGTGGGGCAAAAGGACAATGAAAGCCCCAGTTAAATTGACTTTAAAGCAACAAGGACCAAAAAGACTTCCAATTCTTGGCGAATACGCTCGAGTGATCATGATCGAAATACAAAAATAGGCTACTTTAAATTACTTACTCGGAATCTTTATCTTTAGTGTAACTTCGGGGAAAGTTGTTTTATTTGCCTATCCATGGGACTATATATTAATGTACAAGCAAATTAAATATCACATCCATCTTCCATACAATATTGAAACCATCATTATGAGGGAAACTTTCCGTGCTATGCTTGTTCTAGTTGTTGTATTGTTCTTTGAAGCTGCAGAGCTTTGTTCTAGTTGGAACACGAGCTTTAGCTTTATAGAAAGGGAGAGAGAAGCCCTCTTGAAGTTCAAACTATGTTTCCATGATCCATCTCATATGTTGTCTTCTTGGAAAGGCAATGACTGTTGTGAATGGAGAGGAGTAGGCTGTGACAAAAATAACAAATATGTTGTCTCACTTCAACTCAGGGGATCAATATCTGATCGTCTTTATTCGTCCTTTATTGATGATCAACAACCTCAATTGTACTTGATTGACCATGTAGAGGAGGTTGTTTCAAGTTTGCTCAAGCTAAGATACTTGGAACACCTGGACTTGAGCAACAATAATTTTAGTGGTAATCTTATTCCACCCTCCTTTGGCTTGATGAAGCAACTGAGATACCTAAATCTCTCTTATGCGCAATTCAAAGGGAGAATTCCTAGTGAACTTGGAAATCTTACAAGGCTTCATGTTCTTGATCTTTCTCATAATTATTATGGGAGATTGAAGGTTGATGATGACATTCAGTGGATTTCTCGTCTCTCCTCTTTGCAACAACTTGATATGAGTGGAGTAAATCTAAGCCATGCCTCATCAAACTTGTTCCAGGTACTTGGCATGCTTTCTTCATTATCATGGTTGAGTCTGTCGAATTGTAATCTAAAAAATTCTCACCTTCCATATCACAACCATCTCCTTAATTTTACATTGTTTGGAAATATTCAACACTTCGATATTTCACAGAACTCTTTTCATGGTCCAATACCTATTTTTCTCCAAAACATGACTTCATTAACATTTCTTGATATGAGTGGAGTAAATCTAAGCCTTACATCATCAAACTTGTTTCAAGTGCTTGGCATGCTTCCTTCTCTATCACAATTACATCTGTCAAGCTGTAGTCTTAGAAATTGTCACTTGCCATCTCACAACCATCCCCTTAATTTTACATTGCTCGGCAATATTCAACACTTAGATCTTTCAGCTAACTTTTTCCAAGGTCCAATACCTATATTTTTCCAAAACATGACTTCCTTGATATTTCTTTATCTTTCTAGCAATCAATTGAGTGGGAGTATTCCAGATCGCATCGGACAACTTTCTAAGTTAGAAAGAATAGACCTTTCTGACAATCAATTGAGTGGGAGTATTCCAGATAGCATCGGTCAACTTTCTAAGTTAGAAAGAATAGACCTTTCTGACAATCAATTGAGTGGGAGTATTCCAGATAGCATCGGGCAACTTTCTAAGTTAGAGAGCATATATCTTTATGGCAATCAATTGAGTGGGAGTATTCCAAATAGCATCGGGCAACTTTCTAAGTTAGAGAGCATATATCTTTATGGCAATCAATTGAGTGGAAGTATTCCAGATAGCATCTGGCAACTTTCTAAGGTAGAGAGCATAAATCTTTCTGGTAATCAATTGAGTGGGAGTATTTCAGATAGCATCGGACAACTTTCTAACTTAGAGAACATATATCTTTATGGGAATCAATTAAGTGGGAGTATTCCATATAGCATCGGGCAACTTTCTAAGTTAGAGAGCATATATCTTTTTGGGAATCAATTGAGTGGGAGTATTCCAACTAGCATCGGGCAACTTTCTAAGTTACAGAGGATAAATCTTTCTGGCAATCAATTGAGTGGGAGTATTCCAGATAGCATCGGACAACTTTCTAACTTAGAGAACATATATCTTTATGGGAATCAATTAAATGGGAGTATTCCATATAGCATCAGGCAACTTTCTAAGTTAGAGAGCATATATCTTTTTGGGAATCAATTGAGTGGGAGTATTCCAGCTAGCATCGGGCAACTTTCTAAGTTAGAGAGGATAAATCTTTCTGGCAATCAATTGAGTGGGAGTATTCCAGATAGCATCGGGCAACTTTCTAAGTTAGAGAGCATATATCTTTATGGGAATCAATTGAGTGGGAGTATTCCAGCTAGCATCGGGCAACTTTCTAAGTTAGAGAGTATAAATCTTTTTGGCAATCAATTGAGTGGGAGTATTCCAGATAGCATCGGACAACTTTCTAAGTTAGAGAGCATATATCTTCATGGGAATCGATTGAGTGGGAGTATTCCAGATAGCATCAGGCAACTTTCTAAGTTAGAAAGCATATATCTTTCTAGGAATCAATTGAGTGGGAGTATTCCAGTTAGCATTGGGCAACTTTCTAAGTTAGAGAGTATAAATCTTTTTGGCAATCAATTGAGTGGGAATATTCCAGATAGCATTGGGCAACTTTCTAAGTTAAAGAGCATCTATCTTTCTGGTAATCAATTGAGTGGGAGTATTCCAGATAGCATCGGGCAGCTTTCTAAGTTAGAAAGCATATATCTTTCTAGCAATCAATTGAGTGGGAGTATTCCAGATAGCATTGGGCAACTTTCTAAGTTAGAGAGCATATATCTTTTTGGAAATCAATTGAATGGGAGTATTCCAAATAGCATCGGGCAACTTTCTAACTTAGAGAGTATAAATCTTTCTGACAATCAATTAAGTGGGAGTATTCCAGATAGCATCGGACAACTTTCTAAGTTAGAGAGCATATATCTTTTTGGAAATCAATTGAGTGGGAGTATTCCAGCTAGCATCGGGCAACTTTCTAACTTAGAGAGTATAGATCTTTCTGACAATCAATTGAGTGGGAGTATTCTAGATGGTATCGGGCAACTTTCTAAGTTAAAGAACATATATCTTTATGGCAATCAATTGAGTGGGAGTATTCCAGATAGCATTTGGCAACTTTCTAGGTTAGAGAGCATATATCTTTCTGGCAATCAATTGAATGGGAGTATTCCAGATGGTATAGGGCAACTTTCTAAGTTAGTGAACATATCTCTTTCTGGCAATCAATTGAGTGGAAGTATTCCAGTTAGCATCGGGCAACTTTCTAAGTTAGAGGGAATATATCTTTCTGGCAACCAATTGAGTGGATGTATTCCAGCTAGCATCGGCCAACTTCCGAAGTTAAAGATAATAGATCTTTCTAACAATCAATTTGGAACAGGATTTCCTACATAGCTTCAATTGCAAAAGACAAAAATCATGGTTGATCTCTCTAATGCTAGCATCTTAGGTCCTCTTCCAGAAACATAAGTCTCATGATGCTAATGTTGCAAGGATTATATCTTGAAAATAACCTCATGAACAATTCAGTTCCAAAGTCACTATGCAATTTAAAATATTTGAGTGAATTTGATCTCTTAAATAATATGTTCCCTGTAAATATTCCAAAGTTGTTATACAATTCAAAATCTTTGGGATTTCTTGATCTCTTAAACAATATGTTATCTGGAAGTATTCCTAATTGTTGGAGAAATGATCAATCATTCCATTATATTGATTTATCTTCTAACAATCTCTCGGGTTTATTTCCGAGCACAATGGCATGGCTTTCTTCTTTAACTATACTACACTTGAACAACAACAATCTTCATAAGGGACTGCATGTGGCCTTGAAAAAATTCACTTCATTAGTGATTTTGGATTTGGGCAAAATAAATTTTCTAAAAATTTAACAAGCATTGTAGCAAGCGAGATCGACAACCACTCTTTAAAGGTTTTCCGACTATGAAAAAATTTGGTTTCCGATTATATTCCTTTGGAACTATGCTCTCTCTCTCAATTGTAAATTTTGGATCTTGTGGATAATAATCTGACAGGAAGGATTCCTCCTTATTTTGGAAAGTTTCCCATTATGGTGAATGCTACATTTATTATTAAGTTAGTTAGGCAACCTCGTGTTGTAGGGTATGGTGTCAAGTCTAACTTTGAATGATTTAACATTGACTAGGCCAATTTTAAATGAACACATGAGTATTAGAGTTTGTAAAGTTTTCAATAATATAATATAGACTATAGTTCTATAGGTTTTACAAAAATAAAAATACATAGATTCTAATAGAAAATAGAGAATTCCATGCAAAGCTTTCAGATTGCATGGATTTCTATCTTTCTAGTTTTGTTAAAAAGAGAAAGTAAAAAAAAGAAGAAGCAAAAGATGAAAGAATGAGATAGGAAGAATGGCTCAACTGAGTATACAATAATAGCTAAAGTAAAGTCTTCACACATTTATAACTAAAGTTTGGAATTATCAATCACACACAATCAAATTGCTCAATTGAGTGTCCAATATATTGTAACTCTTACGTAAAATTCCCATGTCTTCAATATTTCCTAAAACACATTTTCACATAACATAAGGCATATCAACTATACTCATAAAACACTATCAAGGCTAAATAGTGAAGTTGGTTATGTTACCTTAACCCTAAATAGCTAATTGATTCTTGTAACAAAAACTGAAACACAATTGATCATTTGTTGTTTTTAATTTTATGTCAACACTTTTGATATATAAGAGGCCTAAAAGCTAAAGCACACAATGCATAAGAACCTAGATAAACTTCAAGAATAAAATGAATATCCACAAAAGGATAAGGATTAATACCTCAAGTTGCCTTTCTCCCAACAAACCATCTTCGGATAATAAAGGCACTAAAAAAGAGTATATCTAAGTGAGATAAATATATAGATAATTCTGATGTTTTCATTTGGAAGATAATGTTGGTATATTTTTTTAATAGAAAAATAAAATATATGGGTGGTGCTTTTGTGGCCAAACCTTAAGTCTCCTTCATCCTACACACTCATGAAGGTGTAGATGCCACCATAACAACTATGAAATGACTAAAATGTTTTCAACCTGCTAAAAGGAGTTATATTAAAAAAATCATGCAACTAAAGCTATAAGAAACTTGTGGGATAAGATTGTAGGTCTCCATCATGTTATTGTCCTTCTTAATTAGTTGGTACTAGTGTTCCAGTTACATTAATGAATCTGCTGAGCCTGAGTTTGTTTTGTTTTCTACTTGTTTGTATATGGTATGTCTTCTGATTGAACAGATGATGTCATCAACAAGTACAAGAATGCCAAGTCGAATTTGGAAAATTTGAAGAAGCGGGGCGCAACTATTTTACACGGAGTTGATGCAACCAAAATGAAGAATCATGATGACTTGAAAAAGCGCAGATTTGATCGAATTATCTTCAACTTTCCTCATTCAGGCTTCCATGGAGATGAGCGTGAATACTGGGTGATTCTGTAAGTTCTCAAGTTCATGATGTGTGTATAATTTATTATCATTCTGGTTATTTTTAATGTCCTATGTTGATGATACTGCA